CTATTTGTAATTTGGTTCAATGGAGATGCAAAAAACATGTACCAAGTACAGATTGTGGGAGCTGCTATGACATAACCTGTCAAATCAAACTATTCTCAAATTGTTTCTTATATTATTATCTAGTTGTTTACCGATTTTTAACGTTAACTTTTTCTCTTTTGTACTAAATAGCTTTCTCCAATGTTTTAAAAAAGGCTGCTACCCCATTGAACTAACTTAAACCCTTCGTAAGGAAATCGGACTAGTCTTAAATTTTTTATATTACAGTGAAACCTGAGTAAGCCGGAACCTGTGTAACACGGAATCCTGTCTATGACGGAAATTTTGGCGATTACCTACATATTGTAATGTAAAAATTGCTTATAAGCCGGAACCCTGTCTAACGCGAACACGGAATTTCCCTAATCTGTTAAGCCGGAACCTACTTATGTTATTGCTTTGCAGGTATAAAAGAATTTATAGATGTTTACATAATTAGTTTATGATTTCGGAAAGTCCCATAATAAGGGCGAACTATTATCAATACTTAGAACCATTATCACAGAAATTTAGGTACAAAAGCAGTAAATACATAAATAAACCAGTATTGTGTAGGTACGGCAGTTTGAGTTTATCCGTGAAAGTGCAAACATTTCAAAATGGCAAACCGAAAAACGAATACATTATCGCTAAAATCTAAAATGGACTTAATTTAATGTAGTGACCAAAAAAAACTTACTCCAAAGCAATTGGTTATTCAATTTAAGTGCGGAAAAACGCAAGAATATGAAATTTTGAAAAACAAGGAAAAAAATTAAAGAAGAGTGGATGCGTGGTGGTAATGGCGATATTAAGAGAAAGCCAAAGGAATCACATCACGACGACGTAAATTCAACAGTTTTGGAATGGTTTATGGATGCAAGGTCTCGCAATCTTCCTGTATCTGGAACAATTATTCAAGAAAAAGCAAGAGAAATTGCAAACCATTTTGGAAAAGTAGATTTTAAAGCTTCGAATGGATGGCTGGAAAGTTTTCGAACACGACATAACATAAGATTTAATCAGATCTGCGGTGAAGCTAAGGACGTCGACATGGAATCTGTGACTGAATGGACATCGCACATTACAGATTTAATTAAAGGATATACCCTAAAAGACATTGCTAATTGTGACGAAACTGGCCTTTTTATAGAGCGCTGCCGGACAAGACAATGTGCTTTAAAGGTGAAAAATGTCAAGGAGGCAAACAATCTAAAGAAAGGTTAACCGTTTTGTTTTGCGCCTTTGCTGACGGAAAAATAGAAAAACCTCTAGTTATTGGAAAATCCCTCAGACCGCGATGTTTTAACAATACCAATGTGCCTCAGCTACCAGTTTATTGGCGAGCAAATAAAAAAGCATGGATGACATCAGTTCTTATGGAACAGTGGCTAAAAATTTTAAATCAAAAAATGAAATTTGAAAATCGACACATCCTTCTATTTTTGGATAATGCAACGTGTCACCCCAAAATAATACTATCCAATATAAAATTGTGTTTTCTACCACCAAACACCACAAGTCAAACACAGCCTCTCGATCATGGAGTTATACAAAACTTCAAAATGCATTACACAAAACAAGTGCTGCGGTCAATTATTGCGAATATGAGATTCTCTCAATCAGCAGGAGATTTGGCTAAAAAAATATCAGTTTTGGATGCTATCAGATGGATTGATTATTCAGTAAAAAATATTAAACCTGATTGTGTTAAAAAATGTTTTGCGGCATGTGGAATCAAGCAAGATGGAGACGTTGACCTAATCGAAAATGTTGACGAAATTGACGAAAGTACAAAAGAAGTCGAAGAGTTAATTACTGAAATTAATCCCGGTTGTAATGTTCATGATTACATCACATTAGATGAAGCCGTTACAACAAATGCTGGATTTCAGTCCATAGAAGAACTGGTGTTAGAAAAAACTGCCGTGGAAACTACTGTGGCAGACGATAATGATGGGATTGGAATTGGTAAGCGATTTTTCTAATTAAAAAATTTTTCTGAAGCTTTGAGGAGTGTTGCAGCGTTAGAGGATTTTTCCCAAAGAATAGAGAGCGAACCGATGAGAAAGAAGATTTTAGAATTAAGGACATTCATGGAATCATCTTACGTATTACAAAAGAATAAAAAACAACTTACATTGATAGAAATGTGGAATAAATAATAATTTATATTGTTTCTAATAATAAATAAAAATATGTAGGTACATAGTAATAATAACAACTATATATTAAATGTACGTATATTAGATTTTTTTTAATAAAATCATCACTTTTTTAAATCTACTATGTGCAATTTTTTATCTACCCTGTGTAACGCGGAATCCTGTATATGCCGGAAAATCGGTGCACGACCGTGCGATTCCGTTTTACACAGGTTTCACTGTATTATTTTAAATCTTTCGGGCATCTTCGGGAAATTGGCCGCTAACTTTTAGCTGCCAAGTTCATACCCGTGGCGACTGCGAGATAGTTTAAACGCCGTTTTGGCGGCCGCTCTTAAGATCCAACTCAATTTTGTTTGCGATATAATCACGATTTGTTTACGTTAGAAAACTTGCATTATCGATTTTTCATTAAAAGTAATACAAGACGTAACTAAATTTCTATCTCTCTATGTCAACAAATATGTAACACGATAAATTTAATAAAACGTATGTTACTAATGAATTTGTAGCGAGAACTGACGGCAACACTGTCAGCTACTAGAGTACATACAGGTCCGGTATAAGCCAAATAATAATTAAAATGTTTTGATTGAATTAAATAAAATATCGAACTTAAATATTTTTATTTTTAAGTAAATGGCATTTAGAAATAGAATTATTGCTGTTAAGGGTACATTTTTCTTTAAAAAGATTTAAATGTATTTCTCATTATTTTTAAATTATTACGACGAAATAGAATCTTTCAATATATAAATATATGAAAGATTTTAATTCCAATAGAGTTAGCTTCTTTTCGATAATGTATTCGAAATAAGCCATTTTACCGATTAAATGACTTTTTTCTTATACTTCATTTTTGAAATTTTGAATAATTTCACATATTGTAAGACAAGAAAGAAAAAAAGAAGCATTTGGAACTTTAGAAATAATTTATGCAATAAATAATTCTGATGCCTTGGTAGGATTCCCCACTCGACCATTCACTGTTGGGTTCTAATTAACAGTGCTGTTCCTAAAGTGGCGCTGGAAACAGTAACAAAGCCTACACAGAACACGAGGCTAATGGCCGTAGTAGTCGACGCCGATGACACCAAATGAAGAAGAAGAATAGCAATTGGATTCACGATGGATTTAACGTGTTTGTAGAAACTCTTTTTATATATTATTTCGGTAGGTTTTTTTTATCAATAACGAAGTAGTTAATAGAATAACTATTATTTAACAAAAACTTAGATGTAGCTTACGATAAAAGACACTAATAAAGCTGAAGTAGCAAAAAATATTTTTACTCCTACACTGAAGGAATAAAATACAATATACAATAAAAGGGTATACACACGTTTTTCTTAATTTTCTTTTTTTGACCCAATTTGCAACTAACCATTTTCCAGTACATACATGGAATTTCATAAATTAAGAACAAAATTTGTCTCCTTGCTTCCCAAATGTGTGAAGCGTAACGTAAATGCATCTGTCTCCTTTGCTGTCGCGTCTGCTGCCGTCCTTCCGAAATGGTACTTTATAGTTCAGTTCAGTGTTAATTACAGACAAAGGGAAATATGTCGATCGATAGTTATTGTATTTCTCGTAAGATAGAATTTCTATAATAAACCACAATATTTTATTGTACGTTAAAATTTTATTTTCGCTACGTATTAATTTAATATTTTTAGTGTTTAATTTAAAATTTTAACTACAAGGGCGATTTCTGAAGGAACAGAATAAATCAGAAAACATATAAAAAGGCCCGGAGTTTTATTTCTTTATGAATGCACTATTAGAAAATTTCGAGATGTTGAAAATATTTTTTTTTAAATGTAATAGGGGTGGTTTTTTCGTTGCACTAAATCAGATATTATTAATAATATGAATTGTTAGGGGATTTCAATTCGTTATAAATGGACCATTAAAATTTTTTAAAGCTGTTGCCAATTTCAAGGTTGAAACATTACAATAGATCTTTAATTATATTCAATATTATAAAATAATTTTATTAAATATTTGAACATGATTTAATTTCAAGCAATGCTTAAATTATGATTTTAAAATTTTTCGTCAAAAAAGGTAGTTCAACATAATTTTGGAATTAATAATAAATTGATAATTAATGCCAAAATAATGTCTCATCAAATTAATATTAAAAGATTCTCGAGATTTACACGCAACAAAAATAGCTGACTATTTATCAAGGTCTTGGTAAATTACCCTTGACTATTTTTCTTCGTCAATTATTGACTAGAAATACTATAACAGTCTATTTTTGCCATTAAAAACTGGTCTAAAATATATTTAATGTACTTTGCCCAGTCCTATTTGAACGTAGGCTACCTACGATTACTATGGAAAGCAGTCTCGGGTAATAGCTCATTAAAATTAGTAAACACAACGCAAGGTAAACAAAACACATAGTAAACAAGACGAACATGATATTATTTTTTATACTTACCAGTGTAAGGAGTTGTAGGTAAAGTATAGTACATAATGCGTGTTGAAATTATTTACTCATAAATTCGTGAATAGTATGCTTTTTACATCACTTATTGAGCAATATACTATTGTGATAGTCACTCTGTGTATGCAGAGTGAGCTGCCTGAACTCAGCAGAGGTGATGTAAGTTTTCAAGGTACGGCATAGAATTTGAACTCCATTCACCCGCCTCTATCGCCCAACATTCACAATTCACTATATAACATGGTAATATAAAACGTTGTTTTCAGCGTCCACTGAACTTAACACCTTTTATCATCTTCTTGGACGCCAATTCATAAAAACTTAAATAAAAAATGCCGGAAATGGAAATTAAACATTTCTATTTACTAAAATGTTTAATAATTTATTAAAATATTTGCAAGTATAATTAAAAAAAAATAATATTAAAATCTACAAATTAATAATCAAGTTAAAAGAAAGAATGATGCATAAAAAATGTTTCTAAAATAGGCCATCAACGACGTGATAACTACGCAGGGTTCGGAATTAAATCCAAACTGACATTTAAAAAGAAGAATTTTTCCCGTGCTTTAGAAACATTTTTTTACCGAACTATCTTACCTCAATTTAATTATTTCCTTTGTAGCAGTTCGAACAATAACGTGAAAATCTTTATCCAAATGACTTCTCCAAAATTTACACCGTCCCCAAACGACTGCAGGGTAGTTAGGACTCGGTATGCCCTGAAATATCCTAGCGACCGCTCTAGCTGTGAAAGTATTGTCCCTATACATTAAAATAAGTGCTCGAATATCAGAAATAAGCTGTTCTTCGCTGAACTTAGGATACTCTATTTCTGATACCAACTTTAATGGGTTAGGTGAGTTGAAATACTCTCTAACTCTGGATTTTACGAGTTGATCACTTTCTGTTGATGAAGAAGTTTGGAAAGAAGCTTTAGCGACCTGGCTGAGAGTTTGATGTATTGCGTTTAGTTGTAGTAAAGCTGTTTTTCCCTGTTCTACAACTCGATTGTATAAAGAATCTAAAGCATCGTCCAATTGATCGCCCGATAGATTTCCCGGCGCCAGTAGTCTGAAGCCCAAATCGAAGAATTGTATGTTTAAGGGTGATCTCTTTTGTTGTCCATTTACTAAAATAGAACATTTGATGATGGGTGGGCACATTAAAATATTGTGGGTTTAATTTACCTGTGGTCCATTCCAAATTTTTCAACTTAAATTTACAAATACCACTTTCCCAGCCCATGGCAGCAGCGACATCTACTACGGGAAATTCCAAAATATTTGCATCTTTAGTTTCTTCGTTTTTGTGTAAGGCTAAGGCCATGGCTAAAGGTGGACATTCCTTTGCCATCTAAAAAGTGCGATTTCTTGTATAAAACAGTATTTTTAGAAATAATTTCTACTTAAAAATTATAAATTCAATAAATCAAAAACTACCAGAAAGTTATTTTCATTAATAAACTGATCAAATGAAATGAGAGCCACTTTTTCAATCTGTTACATTTCATAGAACAAAGAGATAAACTGAAAGTTGAAGCCAATGCTGTTATTTTAAAATTATTTTAGAAAATTGAAAAAAAAACTTTTTTCATAATAACTCAAAAACTAAAGAAGATGCACAAAAAATACAAGAGTTAAAAAATTAGGATTTTTTTTCAAAGGTAATCCAATCTATTCTAACCCTCAAGATTTAATTATAGCGAACAGACATTGAGAAATATACGGAGTAAGCTTGGAAATATTACAATAATAATGATCATTCGTTGGAAATTATATGAGTTCGGTGAAATGGTCGAAATCATATACAACCATGGGCGCGAAATCACCGAAATCATACGAATACGGATGTTTTGACGTCTGTGGTTTACCTCTCGGTTGGCTTATTTTAATAAAATTCGAAAACAACACTCTTTCTTTTTGATGTTTTATTTCTGGCGAGTCCCAGTTTTTGCACTTTTTATTATGGATTTTGTTTTTGCATACTAAGAGAAAGTAATTATTAAAATGTGCCCAAAAGCAACTAAAGAATTATTTAGAATATTAATTAATTAAAAATGGTCTGAAAAATAATGGTTACTGCGCTTTTTTTGTGTCAAATATATTATTTTAGTTGACCTAGTCTTAATTACCTTCCTGATTTGCATAGGTCCGCAATACGAAACGACTTTACATTTAGTATATCCTGGACTCAACAACTCTATATATTTATTTTCATGTAATTCTAAATAACAGAGAAGCGTTGAAATATTTTCTTCTGGTATATCCAAAGCTCTAACGGTCGATTCAATAGAAAACGCAACTTCGTGCTTAAGACACTGTTCTTTACAAGAACAAGGTATGAAAACTTTTTCCAGCAATTTTCTAATAACATGACGATCAATCGAGTTAGAATGAATGTGTCGGCGAAGTTCATTTTCATCACGTCCCTAAAAAACGAAAACAAAATAAGCACATTAGAAATGTAAATATAAAATCTGATGGTGTCCTAGATAAAATCTTGAATGGTGATGCAGATACTTTTCGTGAGGTTCAACGCAAGAGAATCAAAATTAAATTAGATATTGACAATTCGTATTGGTCTTTTATACAGTCAGAAGAATCTAATATAAAATATTATCATAATAAATGTTGGACTTTTATCAATACGAAGCATCTAACAACATGACATATAATAACGTGAAATATAAGTGGAATAGATACAAAAGTATGTAAAAAATTAACTCTTACTTTACCTATAATGCTTTCATGCTACACTTTGTGGAAAAGTTTCAAAGTTTATTCTATATTTAATACAAGTGATACAATTGATATTGCGAATTTTAAGCTAATAAAGATAATACACAACTTTAGCAAAGTCTTCAAAACTTTTCTGAACAAACAAACATACATATAGAGTATTATATTATTACACCCATGAAATCCAATTAACATTTTGTAAAAGGTCGATCTACAGTAAAAAAGCTCGTTAGATGCAGTCAACATATAGCAGAAAATAAGGTCAATCGACTGTAAACTGATGGTTTGTATACAATATGTTGACCAAACTCACCTAGCAAAATAAAGATGAGACGCTTAATTATATTTGGACATGAGAGAAAAAAGAGAGTACTTCTCGTCTCGCCCATCTGCCTGCCGTAATTGGTCACACCTCTATCGGTAATGAGATAGTATGTTATATTTCTGTCTATTCAATAGCTGCGTCAATACCGTTGATTTTTCATACTTTTCTCTGGGAGAGAAGTTTGAAAAGTTAACATATTATAGACTTTTCAAAGGCGTTTGACAGACTTGATCATGGAATACTTATAAACAAACTTATCAGTTACGATCTGTCATAAAACTGTTTCGTTCATACTTGCAAAATTGTCAAGAGTACGTTTTCTTCAACGGTTTTAAGTCTGTAGAATTCTTCGCAACGTCTGGAGGGGTCCAAGGACATATTTAAATGCCTGTACCGGTATTAGTCAAAGGAGTAGTTGTTTTCCTTAAGGGAATGGTCGCTCGTATTATTATGCGACACTGGCTTTGAGTTTATTTTTAATTTTATTTTACGTCTTGGTCACATTTGAGTTGGAACAATTTTCTTGTTTAAAAATAATTTAAGTAGGTACTGCGAGCGATCTTTGATTTTACTAAGTGCAGATGGCGTTACTATTTTTCACTGTTTAACTACTTATTCTCTCGTAACCGACATTATAGTAGTAATTTGTGAGTCTTAAATCGGACGTTTTAAAATGTGTTCAGACATTTTTAATAAAGACTAATCTACAAAAAAAAATGTTTCAGAAGTAGGCCATAACCGATAAAATCAGAGGTATGAGTCATGTCCATGATAACTACGCACGGCTCTGGATTAAATCCAAACTGACACTTGAACCATCTTTGTAATATCCATAAGATTGAATAAACGTCCTTCTGACCTCCATAATGGGACGCACTATAGCAGGGGCACAGTTTATAGCTAAAGAATCAGTTAGCTCACTCGGACCAATTGGATGTTCCAAAATAACATCCACTCCAGGGATACAAATTCAGGATGCGCAGAAGACTGCTGTTTGAATATAGGCGGTTGTCATATATTGTATTAGGCATTCCAAACATATAGCTGCCAGTGGGAAGATTTGATATATCCAAGGGTTGCGACATACGATGTATTCTGTTTACAATACGTAAAATCATGAATAATAGATTATCGGGGTTATGATCGACAAGTAATGTTATTTTTAACAGACACGTTATTTGTGAAGAGGTTGTAATTTCTGTGTGTTTATAAAATAACATACCTGTTAAAAATAACGCAGGTTGTCAATCATAACCCCCTATATTTAAATATTTTATGTCAAACACAATAAAAATAATAATAAAAATAAGATACATTTTTTCATAAATTGGCAGGCTTGGTGACTATTATTTCAAATAAAAAAAGCGTTCAAGATGCAAGACGATGTCTCTACCTCCTTAGATATACCAAACCTTCTCACTGACAGCTATTGTTTGACAGGTCGTTGGAATGCCTACTTGGTTATTATAGTAAGAGAGCCTACTGCAAATTACGACCGCCATCTGATAACAAAATGAAATATGCTCCAAAGACATGTACCAACATTGTACTTTACCAAATTGCACCTGTGTCAATCTCTAATCCTGAAAAAAATTATTTAATTCTCAAAAAATCACATAAGACATAACAGCGATAATTGTGTTTTCCTTGAAAATTACAATCATACTTCATTGTGAACCTATCTTTTAAACCTGAATTATTAATAGTTTTGCAGAGATAGTCAATAATAATTATAAACTCTTGTTAGACAATTCTTTTAAACCATAATCATAGTAGTTTTTTTGTCGTTTCTATGGCAACCTGTAAAAATGAATCCCAACAATTTATAGGCATACAAATACATTTTTAAATCAGCAAAGATTGATTCATATTTTTAATGATTTTTACCTGCTAATCGTGTGTAGATGTTTTTGTGCGATGTAAAGAGGAAGAAAATGTGTTCCGTTAACGATATATATCAAGATATATTATCTGGAAAACTTTAAGGGCAAAGAAAATTTGCGCTGTCATGCCTTATGTGATTTTTTAAGATAAAATATTTTTTTAACCACTTTGCTCAGGATTGGTATTGATACAGGTGCCATTCGGTAAAGTACAATGTTTTTACAAGCTTTTGGGGTATATTTTATTTCATTATCAGATGGCGGTAAAAATTTGCAGTGGGCTTTTGGGCTATTATGATTTGATTCTGTATGCGCCAGGGATACAAATCCGAGTTGCGCAATGTATAAACTGGAACATTGAGATCAAAAGTGCCGACGCAGAGGGAGCGAACTGATTCTTTAGCTATAAACTGTGGCAGGGGTGGCCAACTTTTCTGGTTATAAGATCTACTTTTTATCTTAAAAGTGTGTCACGATCGACTTTGTCACAGGCGTAGTCTCAGAGGGAATAAGGGGTGTGAAATGCATACTATGTTTATACACTGTGTTGCAGTTTAAGGTATATTCGAGACAGGTATGGGTAGATAAGTAAAATATATGTTCCAAATACGGTTGCCACCTTTTCATTTCTCAAAACCCGGATCTTTGTTCCTGAAATTTCTAAATAAAAAGGTCCACAGGTTAATAAACCTTCTGAAAAATCAAGTTTTCAGTTATCCAGATATTCCCGGACATTTTCATCATACGACCGTACACCGGACAAATTATTCAAAACCCGGGCAGTATGGCTGATAATTTGATTTGAATATTTCACTTTCAGGTTTTTTTTTTGAGCTAGGAAAATTTATCATTAACCCTTACAGACCGTCTGGCTACAATTGTGATTTACTTATAATTTAGGTACATCAGGTTCAGAATATGCTTAGAAGCTATTGAGACCGGTGTCGTTCGCTTGTGGAAGGTGTACTTAAGTGCATGTTTACCGCCGCAATCGTCAGTTAGCTTTTGTTTTGGGTTGAAAGTGTATCGATAATAGCTGTGTATAATCGAAAATGGCTTCGCGACGTAAGTATATTTTTTAAAGTATTATCACCGTATTTTTAAATATTTCTTTGTCGTATATTACTGTCAAATAAATGTATTTATTTGTATCATCAATGGTTTCATGAAATTTATTGAAACACCTTGATATCACAATTGTGTACTTCAGGTCTAACTATAGTAAAAGTTCCAAATATGAGTAATGAACATAATTTTCTTTTCTTACAGGTTCAAATCGCAGACTTAATTTAGAGCAGCTTCAGGCTAATCCGGATGCTTTATATGAAATGTTGGACGATATAGACTCAGATCTGGAGTTTGAAGGGGAAGAAGGTGAATATTGGGAACCCTCAAATTCTACAGATAAATTTCAAAATTCTGAAAAAGAATCTGAATCAGAAGACAGCAGTGTTGACGAAACGCCTTCTCTTGCTGATACTGCCACACAAAAAAAGGGTAAAAAGGCAAAGGCTAATTGGACTTGGATAGAAGGATTATTTGAAATAAGAGACCCTCCTGAAGAAACTTTAAATGAGCCACAAGAAGTTTTGTCACCTGCACAATATTTTCAGCGGTACTTGGGTGATGAATTTTACGCACTAGACAATACGATTTTAACAAAAATGGAAAACCTTTACAACCTTCTTTGTTGCCTGAAGAAGTAAAGAAGTTCTTCGGTATTCATGCTACTTTGGGCTGTGTAAAATATCCAACACTTAGGATGTATTGGACAGCCAACTTCAGATTGCCTCTCATTGCCTATACATTACCTAGAGATCCGTCTTTCTTGCTTCGTTCTAACTTTCATATAGAAGATGAAAACAGGGTTTCAGAAGAGGACAAAAAAGTAATCGGCTTTGGAAAATACAGCCTATGATAACTTATGTTAGAAATAGATGCAGGCAACTCAAAAGATCTCAAAACGGAACTTATTCAATTGATGAGCAAATGATTCCTTTTTTAGGTCGTTGTGCGTTAAAACAATATGTCAAGAATAAGCCGAGACCTGTTGGCCTTAAACATTTTGTTGTGACGAATTCTAAAGGAGTTGTATTAGATTTTGAAATCTACCAGGGGAATACAACTCCATTTCAACACAAAGCCCATGGACTTGGACTGGCTGTAATTCTACATTTTGCTCACAAGTTACCAAAGAAAAGTCATCTATTTTATGATAGGTACTTTAACTCAGTGGGGCTAATGGAGCAGCTAAATCATATAGAAATCCACGGTACGCACTATAATGAAAAACAGGTTTCAAGTAAGTTACGATTTCATTCCCGATAAAAGAATGGCAAGAGGTGATTCGCAGTCAGTTATTAGAAGTGATAATAATCCCATGGTACTGACAAAGTGGATGGATAACAAGGCGGTTCTTATGTTGTCCACTTATTTTGGAACTACACCAGAAACCACTGTGAAACGCTAGAACAAAATTGAA